GATCAATCAAAGGGTTTTTCAACATTAAAACTACATTTTCCGATGAATTTTTGAGGGGCATCCGTAGTTCTACATTATAAGGTAGCATCCTTATATAAACTTTTTCCTATATATATATATATATAAAAGGTGCGGTTTCTATAAGGTTGCAACTTTAAACAATCCAATTAAGGCACACCTGCAAATTTTCTCATAACATGTAATTTTGGTGTAAAAAATTCTTAGGATTATCGAAAAATCTTTTTTCATATCTAATTATAAAATTTTAAGCTCCAAAAATGGTTAAAATCAACTAGATCTATAAACATATGAAAATCTTGAAAATGGACAGTCTAGATAATGTGTTTCAAGATGCACTATTTCTGAAAGTCAATTTTTTTTTTTTTCATATTCATACATCTCGATGTCGAGATGATTAATTAGAGGGTTTTTCAACATTAAAACAACTTTTTCCAATGGATTTTTGAGGTGCATCTAAAATTCTACATTTTAAGGTTGCAACCATATATAAACTTTTTCCATATATATTAGAAGCATCCTTGTAGTGTCACTGTTGGTTCATGGTGTACTGCTTACCTTTGTTAGTTTAGAATTTTTAGGAGCAAGCATGCATTATAACAATCCATCTCTGCTGGTCAGCTGTAATATGAGCTTGTTGATTAAAGTAAAAGTTTAAAACCCAGTACAGTGGGGTCCTACAGCGACAACTTTCTGCATTTGATAGCTTTTTCAGTATGAGGCTGTGAATAGAATCCTGTGCAAGTCTGTGAACACTTGATTGCATATGCTGAAATTTTGTTTCTTTTCTCTTAAATATCTTTCGAACACACTCACAAAGCTTAAATATGCATCATATCATGAATATGTAGAGGTTGGATGGTTGTCATTGTTAACCGTATATTGAGTTTAGTGGTTGTCATTTATGTGTGCGACGTATTATTATTTGTATGTAGTCAGGGCTCTATTTCATCTTGTAGGGTATTGATCCTCATAGTTGTTGTATTTCCTTATTTCAGCTGACTTATGTTTATTCCTTTATGTGACATATAATCAGTCTTTAACTAATGGTTAGAATATTGAATAATTGAGAAACTGGTAAGTTTCTACTCAAGTTCACCTTATCCTATATTTTCAATTCATGTAGATTCACTCATGCATCATGCTGATATGCCTTGCATGCTGTATTTTATATCATATATCTCAGTAAGTGGGACACCATTATGTATTTTGTTAGATGATTCTTGCATGATGTAGCCGAATTCGCTGCATGCACACGAGATTTCAATTAGCTGACTTGTATTCTAGTGCTTTACCTGTGATTCCTTAGCGCCATTCTGTTACCCAACAGTGCGAGCCATTAACTTATCTTATTAATGATATGTGCATAGGCACCGCGAGTTAAGGCCAGTTCCACAACACCTACACGAAAGCGCCCTGATTTGTCATTTATGAAGGTGGAGGCAGCTGGGTCTGACATTAAGGAAGCTGTTGTAGCCCCCCCAAAAGTCTCGGTAGCTCCCAAAACTCAGACACTGGAAAAGCAAGCTCGTCTTCTGTCTACCATTGCCTCAAATGCTAAGAAGTCCGAGGGCAAGGTCACTTGGGATTCATTGCCAGTGAACCTTGTGAAACTAGGAAAGGTTTGTTGGTTAAATCGTGTGCTTGCTAAACTAATAACTTGCTGTTGCTGAATGTTTTTGACCTTGAAGAACATGAAAGTAGTTAATGGAAGTGGGAATGTTTTATATTTTTGACTTTCACATTCTTCATTAAGTGTCAGATGTTCACAAGATAACTGTTGAAACCAGAAATTAAAACTCAGACTTGGTTACAGAACCAGGCAGGGCCTGAGCCTGAGTCAGCCTGTTGATTCCACTGGGTGTCAACATTACTTGGCCAAATCTATAAAAGAATACTATGGAAACCTTAGAATCGGTGAGACGACCAGTTTCCGATGGTTTTTATTGGGATTCGACACCCTGCCTGGTCCAAGTAACTTAGGCGAGTCCGAATTGGACTCAATGTGTTTTGAAACAATGGTTGAGACCAGTGTTTTAAAACACTGCTTGGGCAGCGTATTCAGCATCTGTCTGAGATGAATGACTAATGCAACTTTTTGAACACTGGTGAAACCATTACAAACTATTTTGTAAAGAATGCATAGAAGAAGGGTAATTTGGGTTTTCAATAATATTTAGGCTACGCTTTGGGAATTTGTGTCTTATGTATCCATGTGGAAGAATATGGAATGACATATTGGAAATTTTTTGCCCTTATATCTGTTATTCTGATGTCATTTGTGTATTTATTCTTGCTAAAGGAATGTTTTTCTCTTTCAAGGGAATAGTTAGAAGGCGAAATCTTGCCTCTTTGGCAGTGGCTGAGGCTCTACAAGAAGCATCTGCTGCTGAAGCTCTTGTAAAGTGTCTGAGGTATGCATTTTTTAATTTTTTTACTGAATGCTGAATTCTCTGCATTTCTGAGTATTGAATATAGTTGTCCTATGATTCTCTGTAATTCTGAGCCGTGAAACTTGTTACATGTGAAGTTTGATTCTGTGACTTCTGAAGTTGAATTGTTTCTAGTTATGATTAAAATGTAAGTCCGGTGTTCATTCTGTTTCTTACAGTAAATAAAGCTTTTATGCCTCCTTTCAACTGCCCTCAATCGAAGATGCCCTTGAACCATAAATATGTGATATTCAACATACTTCTGCAAGGTCTTGATATTTGTCAAGATCCCATTCTGTATATTGAACTAGTCAAGAAGGGTTTCCATTCACATATCCCTCTACTTAAATCTTCCCCACGAAGACATCATGAATGATATAGGCTGAAAATACATGTTTCCTTTTAGTTTCATCATAGCTATCAGAGGCATATCTGAAACCCTGGGTTATCTAAATGGCAAGAGATGTTCACCCTTTCTCCCATGCCCTCCCCAATGCTACTAGGTGCCTCTTCCACCCCAAACAAGTCACCCCATTCAATCAATGTTTGTATATGGGTAGCAGAAGGCCTGCCTGAAATATGAAAAGTGCAGCTTTTTTGGCCTTTTCTTTCAAGGAAAACTGTCACTCCAGACAAGCCTGCAGAACGAAATGGTATAGGAGGTTGGTGCGAGTTGTTTAGCTTTGGTTTCCTGCTAAAGTGGTCTCCCTACTGTAAATGGAGATTCAAAAAATCATTTCAGTCCTTTGTTTTTCATAGACTTTAAGCTTACTCACGTCGGCCCCTCGAGTTCTCAAAATCTTTTAAAGACTTCTTCAGAGGATGGGACATGCAAGAGATTTGGGGAGGTAGGCAATCAAGAGAAGAGGTGCTTGACTTTGAAGATTGTCATTTGCTGCATTTTGGGCCGGAGTGCTGGGATGCCATGTTAAATGTTGTAAACAATGTTCAAATACTTGATCAAAGTCGAGTTGACCAACTGTATTCAGCTAGGTTTGGCACGTGAACAAGTTTTATTAATACAAACTGACGGTTTGTCTCTAATATTTAATTTTTAAAATTAAATATACTGTAGTATATAGAAAAATTGATCATTGATTTTGTGGTAGAATGTGTTCTCAGAGCCTGAAGTTTCCCTGTGGGGTTCTCTCATATCTCAAGTCTGTTGCAATGGCGGACAATTATGTCCATGAACAAATACAAATGACAGATGACATGGAATAACTAGAAAAAGGAATAAACTAGGGTTTTAAAAATCATCTAGCCGACTCAGAATCGCCTGAGTCGATGTGGAATTAGTGGGTGGGTAATTCCAGTATGAGAAACCACAAAATCATTCGATTTCCTGCAGATCATTATTGTTGTTGTTGTTGTTGTTATTATTATTATTGTTATTATTATTATTGTTATTATTATTATTATGTATTTTTGTTGCATCCATATGAGAATCTGTCTCAGGAATAGCTTGCTTGAGATTGGCATACTAGGAATTGGTCACTTGGCGATTCAGGGTCTGATTTCAATTTATTAAAACCTGGAATAAGCAGTTGATAAAAATTAACTCTTCCGACATATGCCAACCATGGTTGAGCAGGGATCACATGCCCACAAAAGTCTGACCACAACTGACCACGTCTAGGATTGTCGCTGAGAGCCCAATGGATCAAATCAACACAAAGGAACATTGAACCACCGCTCCCCTCCTTCAGTGATGTCCTCTTTTGTGGATCGTTTGGATGAAGCCGAAGCACAAGGAAAAATTCAACAAGTCATGCAGGTTATGGGTTTCCCTCACAAAGGCCCTGATGGTCCATTCGAAGAAATTTTCAAGGCTGATATTCAATCCCGTCTCAAGGTAAGCAGAAAAGGCAATCACAAGCTTGCTAATCTAAATTCAGGGATCAACATCGATCGTCCTATCTCTTTACCCCTGGCTATCTTGAGCCCTCTCCCGAAGTGGCTCAGTGGTTCGGCGCTCTTCCAGGATCGCCTCTCTTTCTTCTTATTCCTAATGCTGATCTTATCTTTGAACATCTGGGATCTGGGTTCCACTTTTAAGAAACATTCAGTTGGGGACCTTTGTCTAAAACACCAAACAGCAATCCTAGTTCTTATTGAAACCAAACTCCCTCACTCTACCCTTCAACAGGTAAGATAGGTCTGGGGCAGGAGGCCTTGTCAGTGGGAAGCTCTACGGGCTAATGGGGCTTTAGGGGGCATCTGGGTAATTTGGGACCTAACCGAAAACTTACTTAATTCCTCTCTTATCGCGTCCTTCCCAGTCTCAGTGTTGCTGACCAGGATCTCAGACGACCTTCCTTGGAAATTCTCGGGGATTTATGGCCCTACTCAAGACGACCTTAGACCCCATCTTTGGACCGAATTAAACTCTGTTGCATTGCTCCCTTACCCTATATGGTGCCTAGGGGGTGACTTCAATGTCACAAGATGGTCACACGAGCTAAATTCTTCGTCTAGAATTTCGCCTGCCATGAAACTCTTTTTTGACTTTATCTCGGACAACCTCGTACTGGACCTTCCAAACCAAGGTGCTCGTTTTACTTGGTCTAACCACTCCTCTTCTCCCTCTCTTTCTAAACTGGATCGCTTCTTGGTCTCAGTCGACTGCGACACCACCTTTGCCGGCACCCATGTGGTGGTTTTACCAAAACTCACGTCGGACCACTGCCCCCTGCTACTTAACACAAACCCTTCTATCAGAGGCCCGAAACCTTTTCGCTTTGAACTTTCTTAGCTCTAGGAAAGTTCGCTCTCCGCCCTTTTACCTGCTTGGTGGGCATCCCTATCTAATTCAACCTTTGGGTGGGCAGGCCTTCGGCTGCAAAGGAAACTGCAGTTATTGAAAGTAAACCTCAAGGCCTGGAGCAGGACCCTCCCTGGTTCCTTCTCATCCCAGAAAAATGAAGCCTTAGGGGAGATTAAGCACTTGGATGTGGAAGAGGAATCCAGACCCTACTTCCATCTGAAGCCCTAAGGCGGTCCGATCTTAAAGTCTTATACCAATCTATACTGAAAAAAGAGGAGATCTACTGGTCAGAAAGGTTGAGGGTAAAATGGCTTAAGGTGGGGGACCTTAACAGGGTTCTTCCATAGGATGGCCAACTGCAGACGAAGGGATAACACTATCTCGCATCTTGAGGTGGAATACAGACTCCTTGATCAACCTCTTGAGATAGAGGATGTAGTTATCTCCATTGTCAAAAACCTCTTCATTGCACCCTCTCGACCTAAACCAGAAATGGGGGACCTCCAATTTCAAACCCTTCCCCATGACAAAGCCCTCTGGCTCGAGAGACCATTCTCAGAAACAGAAATTTTATCTGCCATCTCTAGTTGGCGGCGGATAGGTCTCTCGGGACAGATAGATTCCCCATTGCACCTTTCAAAGAGTTCTGGGAGTCCTTTAGGCCAGACTTCCTAGCACTTTTTTCTGAATTTCACTCAAGAGGAGTTTTTCACCGAGCCGTGAATGCTACTTTTATAGCCTTAGTCCTGAAAATTGAAGGGGCTGAACACTTAAAGGATTTCTGTCCTATAAGTCTGATCAATTCGACTTATAAGATCATCGCTAAAGTTTTAGCAGCTCGCTTGAAGGAATTGCTCCCTTTGGTGATTTCCCCCACTCAGAGCGCTTTTGTCAAAGATCGTCAGATCTTGGATAGGGCTACTAAAGCCCATGAATGCATCCACTCGATACATACAACAAAAGACCCAGGTCTAATTGTCAAATTAGACTGGAAAAGGCTTATGATCATGTGGATTGGTCTACACTGGAAGAAACCCAATCTAGAGTGGCATTTGGAAGTAAGTAGAGAGGTTGAATGAGGGCTTGCTTTACTCAACCTTACTTTTCCATTGTAATCAACAGGTCACCGAAAGGGTTCTTTCCCTCCTCTAGAGTTCTACGACAAGGGGATCCTCTATACCCATTCCTTTTTGCCATTGTGGCAGAAGTCTTCAGTTGTTCAATTTCAAGGATGTTTTCTGCTGGCCTGATTAATGGCTTCGCTATTGGTAGAAATGGCCCTATCCTCTCGCACTTACAATATGCTGACGACACGTTGGTATTTTGTAATGCTTGACCAGAAGAAGTGGACAATCTATTCTGGTTCCTCAGATGTTTCGAATTCGCCACTGGGTTTAAGGTGAATTTTAAGAAATAGAAAATGTTGGCGGTAGCGACAGATCTGGCTGTAGTAAAAGGATTCGCTGATCTTTGGGGATGTGCAGCAGAAGAACTGCCCTCAACGTACCTCGGACTTCCTCTTTGTGTTGGAAAACCTAAAAGGAGGCTCTGGTCTCACATTCAAGACAAAGTGAATCGTAAATTGGCAGCTTGGAAGGACATATTTCTCTTGCCTGCTGGCAGGCTGACTCTTATCAAAGCCACCCTAGCCAACATCCCAGTTTACCAGATGTCCTTATTTCCGATGCCTGCAGCAGTGTGCGATAGAATAGAAAAGTCATCTGCAGATTCTTTTGGTCTGCCGATGCGTCAACCCACAAGTTCCACCGCATCTATTGGGAAAAACTTTGCCTGCTGAAGAGATTGGGGGGTTTGGGGATCAGAAATCTTAGAATCCAAAACTCTACCCTACTAGGAAAATGGTGGTGGTGGCTATTAATCTTAAGAGACCAACTGTGGATAGACATCTTGAGATCCAAATACAGAATCTCACTTTCTCCATGGGTTCTGAAGATGAGAACTTATCTTAGAGCATCGGGGGTTTGGAGATCTATCACCTCGACCTTTTACTCCTTCAAAAAGGGTCTTAGGTTCCACCCAAAAGAAGGAAATAGGGTAAGGTTCTGGTTAGACCTTTGGTTTGGCCAACAAACTCTCTAGGAACAGTTCCCAGAATTATTCTCTCTGGAGAGGAACCAAGGAGCAACAGTTGCAGATGAAATGATCGAGACAGGAGCTTTTTGATCATGGCACCCCAACTTCAGGAGAGACCTTTCCGAAGAAGAGATTGCTCTCTTCTCAAACCTCTCTCATTCCCAACCCCCAACCTTTCCTTTGAATCCAACCTCGCCAGTGGCGCAAGCTTGGAACTCTTGCACCCCTTCAGGATTACAGGTTTTCTCGTGGATAGCGCTTTCTGCAAAAGCCTTAATAGTGGACCAACTGCAAAGGAGAGGCCTCTCAATACCTAACCGTTGCTCCATGTGCCTCAACGATGAGGAATCCAACTCCCACTTATTCTTATCTTGCCCTTCGCTTTTGAAGTGTGGGGTAAAATTCTCTCTCTTCTATATTCAGTGGGTTACTCCCAAAGAGGCATCACTTATCTTCGGTGCTATCGAACCTTTCCCTTGGCCCAAATCAGGTATCCAACTTTGTAAAACAGCAGTAGCAGGAACTCTTTGGGCGCTCTGGATTGAGTGAATTCAGAGGATCTTTAGAGGGGTATCCTCAACCCCGAATCTCATCTTTGCTAAAATCAATGCAAACCTGTTTTTTTGGGCTTCAAACCACAAATACTTCAATGGAGTGGTCCCATCTGCTTTCCACCAGAATTGGAATGCGTTGCTTTTCTACTCCAAAAGAAAAGTAACTAGAGCCTCAAACTGGTACCCGCCAGACCCCGGACACTTCAAACTAAATTTTGATGGATGTTCTTTAGGGAACCCTGGCCCTTCAGGAGTACGTGTCATCCTTAGGAATCACCTGGGGGAGCGAATAGCGACTATTTCCAAATTCATTAGCCATAAGGAATCAATGGAGGCAGAAGCTTTGGCACTACTTCAGGGCATGAGGCTTTTCTCACTGCATAGGATGGAATCTGTAACAGTAGAGGGAGATTCCAAGAACGTGATGATGTGGGCCCAGAACCCTTCTTCCACTCCTTGGACTCTTTTACACATCTTTGACGAAATATCCCACCCTTTGCAGGGGAATACGGGTAGTTTGGAAGCACACGTGGAGGGAAGCAAACCACGACGCAGACACCCTGGCCAAGCAGAGTGAAGGAGCTCCTTGAGTTTGTTTGGCTCCCTTCATGAAGGACTACTTCTTTTTGGATGGGTTTCTTTTTCTTGGTTGACTTGTTTACAATGTAACTATCTAAAAGAGGGCCTTTTAATTCTGCCTACTATCTTTCCCCTTCTCTCTCTCCCCCCTGTACCTCTGCTATGTGGCTAGGTTCTACTTTCTTACCCTGTAGGGACCCTTTACTACATATAAAAGTTAACATTATAAAAAAAACATGCGTCACAATTTCTTCAAAACCCCTCCAATGAGCACATTTGGATCAATGAACACAAATTAATATCAGACTCTTGAATGGGCTTTTCAATTTCCCCAACACCATCTGGTTAGCACCACAAGTATTCAATGGATCTTCAAACCCTCCAAAGTCTGGAGAGCTTGAGGTTGTCGAGTGTCCCTTCTGGAACATTGGTTTTGAACTACAAAAAGATGCAGGGCCTAGGAGCTCCTATGCTCCTGCTCTTCTTTAAATTGCAAGAGCCCCAAAATCGAAACCAACGCAATAATCCTCATTAGGGATGCTACATTGATGGACTTTTTTCTCAGGCAATGGCACAATTTGAAGACACTAGATAATGCGCGAATGGTTTTTGTGACCATTGATTCACTAAATCTATTGTCATGCTTTCCTAAACCATTGGATTTTATCTTCTTGTTGTATATTGAATCTAGGCAATAAATGTAATCTGTTGAATAGGCTTATAATATTCAACTCCATAGTGAGTGAGAGAGAGAGAGAGAGAGATGTCCTATCATTGCTTGTTTATTTGAATTTTTAATGAGTCTTGGTTTTCATTTGTGTAGAATCTTTGCTAGCCTGCATGCGTCAGCTGCTACTGAGAACCCACACATCTCAATCTCCAAGTTCTTTTCTCTCCACCAAATTCTCAACCAACCACCCCTTTCCTCCCAAGAAAAGCCTCATTTTCCCAAGGCTCCAATCCCACCATCTCCACTGAGAGAAAGACCCAACAAAATGGGTTCTCAAGTTCCCTCAAAAATGCCAATCAAAATTCACATAGAAACTCAGCCAAAGGAGTACAATGAGGGCATCACAATAGGAGATGGAATAAGAGAGATCGAGGACCTAAGAGATCTCCTAGTACGGGACTCAGAAGTGTGGTTCTTGAATTACTTAGAAGGCCCACTTGATGCTGGGCTTCAAATGCCTCGCCTGAAAGGTGAGCGTAAGGTTCCGGGAGGGGGATTACGCAAGGCTCCAGAAGACGTGGACCGGAAGATTCTGGAAGATGGAAACCAGATTGCAGTAGCTTTATCCCATTTGAAGAGAGTGAGCGAGTGGTTAGATAGTCTTGGGGCCTCTGAGAACAAAGAGGTGGTTAGCAGGCTGAAGCACAAGGTTTACTCTTGCTTACTTGGGCATGTGGAATCTGCTGCTTCTGTGCTTGAGAGTCGGATAGATCGCCGTTAACTGGCCAAAAAGTTTTAATTGTTCCTTTTTTTATCTTTGGGATTATGATTTATTCAATTGCTCTATGTATTATTGAGTATGATTTATTTAGTAATGCATATGCTTTCAAGTTGAGAAAAATGTAAATCTGGTGTAATTTGTCAACGTGGATTTGTTGATAAGTTAATAAAGAAGAGGCCATTGGGTTTGGTTTTCCGGGGGCTTGAGGAAAAATTCCATTGCAAGTAAATTTTGTCTTGTCACTAAGTTGGTCTTGTCACGTTGAATGAACATAATCTTTCATAAGGGATGCTCTCTCTCTCTCTCTCTCTCCTCTGATCTAAATTCATCATTAAAATTGTCCAAACGTCCATAAATTGCAGTTGAAAATGAAAAAGGAAACTTTTTCAGTGGGAAAAAATTCCAATATAAATATGAGTGTAGTTTTTGCCGCTATTTTTATTTCTTTGGTAAAGAAATTAAATAATGGAAAAAGTCTATAGAAGAGGTGTTTCGATGTTGGTGAACCGTCCAATTGATCATCTTGATCTTGTGACGTATAGATATGAAGAAAAAAGAAATTTTCAAGTTTTAAAAAGAGCTCATCTTGTAACAAGTTATCTGGATTATCTATTTTAACGATTTTCAAATGTTTATATAGTTGCTTGATTTGTACATTTTTTAAAAATTTTAAATTTCATAACTAGGGATAAAAATAGATTTTCAATCCGTCATAAGGTCTCGGACATGTTGAAACTACATCTCCAAGCAAATTTTAGAGATGCTCCTTACTTATATACTATGGGCGCCTTATACAAACCTTACCCTTAAATAATAAGGGTTTGCACACGTTTATCCTAAAATTGTACGAGGTTGTTGGCCCCTAAACTTGCATTCCTTCTATCTGTAAATAATTGAATAAAGGGTGTGGTTTTTATAAGGTTTCCACATTAAACAATCCAATTAAGACGCACTTCCAAATTTTATCATAACACATAATTTTGGTATAAAACTTTCTTAGGATTATTTGAAAATTTATTTTCATATCTAATTATAGAATTTTAAACTCAAAAAATGGTTAAAATCTTGAAAATGAACGGCCTAGGTAATGTTGTGTAAGATGCATTATTTTTGGGACTGAATATATATATATATATATATTCTCTTTATCCCTTATTTTTGACTTCTATATCTCATTAGACTCAAGAATTAAAAATATTACTTGAAAGCAAAAGGTCTTCATCTTTGCTATCTTACGACCCCTGGACTCCTTTGATCATAAATTTTTGACCCAAACAAACACTAAAATGACACCCTATTCAAACTCTATCTCTCTCACTGAAACTCCATCTCTCTCCTCGCTTCTCGGTGAGTTTGCCAGCCAATGAGTTTAGCTTGAGCTTGAACACGAGTACACTTTCTTATGTGTGAGAGAGAGATGGAGTTTTAGAGAGAGAGATGGAGTTTGAGTTTTAGGGAGAGAGAGATGGAGTTTGAGTTTTAGGGAGAGAGAGATGGAGACGATGATGTGAGAGAAAAATGGAGTTTTGAGAGAGAAAAATGATGATGTGTATGAGAGAGAGATGGAGTTTAGGTTTTAGAGAGAGATATAGTTTTGAGAGAGAGAGAAGATGATGTAAGAGAGAGATGGAGTTTTAGAGAGAGATATAGAGTAATTTCATAAGTTGTTGAGGTCAATAATACATAGTCAAAATGGTTTAGGGGAAATAGGGGATCATAGGAAATTTTCTCCATATTTTTCATAATCATACATCTCGATGTTGAGATGATCAGTTAGAGGGTTTTTCAACATTAAAATAATCGTTTTCGATGGATTTTTGATGTGCACCTTTAATTCTATTGCAACTTTATATAAAATTTTTCCTTGAATAAAAAAAAAGAAGTAATGGGCCTTTGGATTAGGTAGTCAGGGCGGCGGAGTCACAACTTTGCATCGAGGGTTCCATTCTTACCCTGTTAATATGAATAATCCAAAGTTCATCGTATGGTCACGCTTGTCTGGTAGTGTTTTATTTTTTCATTTTTTTGTCTACAGATCAGAATAATCTGAAATTTGAAGTGTGTGTCCATCTTAATGAGGTGCACTTAATAAAAATATAAAAATAATTTGTAAAAAATAAATTAACAAAAATACCCCCGAAACATTTTGGGGGTATTTTGGTCGATTTTTCAAGTAAAATATTTTTTTTGATATGTTTCGTAGATGCACGTATTTTTTATGAACATAAGCTCCAAATTTCAGTTCATTCCGATATGTAAAAAAAACGAAAAATAAAAAATAAAACACTACCAAACAATCGTGTCCGTGTGATGAACTTTAGACGGTGATGAAGATAGGCGAAATCATTGTTCATTTTCGTCTATAGACGTTTTGTAGTATCTTTCACATATATAGTCGTGGGAGGCAAGGCACACAGGGGGATAGGG